AAGAAGGGTCTAGGCCCAAAACGTCAGCTTTCCTGCTCCTCTGATGCTGCTTGGCCTGCTGTGTTCATCCAGCTCTACACCTTGTTAGCTCTTAGAATTATTTCACTAATGTTGCAAATATAAACGAAATTTGCGCTCATTGAACTTTAAAATTGACTCTTCTTTAGTGGATTCAGAAGCACAATACAAAAGTTACTAAAGTAAGAACTATGCAAATTAGAATTATTCCCAATTGCAACCAAAATGTTACATTCTGCAACATCGGATGATGTGTAAGTACATTTGGGTTTATTTCAATACAGTAAGCTAAATCAGTTGAGAAAATATAATGTTTAAAATTATGATTTAATATTCAAATCAAACCTCTGAATCTCTTCATTAAATGAAATCATTTTGTTTTCTTAAAACAACAGTAGTAGTCTTTTGTCCATATTAATAGTAAAAATATATTCACATATATCAGTCAAAATTATAAGGCCGGTACATATTAAAGAATCATATAACAAAATTATCATTAGAAAATGCTGGGTATATTTTATTGAGAGAAATTAATCTTCCAGATGCTCAAAAACTTCAACAGGAAAGGAGAAGTAAGTGTGGCTGAATGTTAAAAGATTGGCCTTTCACATCTAGAATTAGGTCTCACCGGACTTGAAATTTTTGGACGTTACTCTCACTGAAAAAGTCTGAAGTAAAGTGTATTTATGTCTTTTTGATCTAATTCTTCTTAAATTTATTCAAAAAATCTTGCTGATTTGAAACTTACATCAAGAGGCTTGAGGATATGGAGATGAATCAAACACACTATCAGCTTGACTCGGATGTCTATGGGGACCGCTTCTGGGATCTGACAGTTGTAAGTAATATCTAAACTCGATAAAGCAGACAGAAGAAAATGAAATACCTTTTGACTGTTTCATTTCTCCTACATTTTTCATTTTTCACTACTTTCTTCCTATTTCAAATGCCAAAGCAGCATACACTAGATTCAGGCCAAGGTTACTAAACTAGAGAATCAAGCTATTTCCAGGCTATTGATAACATTGTGTCCACTTGTTTCTTGTAGTCACAATTAACTTACCCTTCAACCTCCTAACAATTATCAGCAGTACAGCCAAAACTGGAGCCTTAAGACATACTATTCAAACGTGTTTCAGTTCATTCACAGACCATTATACCCTGAAGTATCTTTCTTACCATTCCCAGCAGTTCCATGGCTTGATGTCTGTTTCTTTGAATCACGCTTTATTTTAATCCTCTTTTTCATTCTGTAAAGTGCTTTCAGTTTTTTTCTACATTAAGGACGCTATGCAAATAGAAATTGATGCTTAACTGTCAGAATTTTTTTGTCTGGCTCTCCAAGCCACTTAAAATGCACTATTATTTTAGAAGTTCAAGCAGCAACTGAATTTCCATCTATTTTATTTCTGATTTCAGAATAACAGCAAGTGAATATAGGGTTAAAATTGTGCCAGAATTTTTGGTATTTTCTATGCAAGTAAAAATGCAGAACAAATATATTAATTAACTCAAGTAGTGCTTCACAAAAGAGCAATTATCTATATGTAAATACTTGAATTAGATACAATTTTACATAAGAATCAGACGCACATAGAACAGTGCCTTTTACTAAAGTGCACCGCTCCAAAAACTAATGCTTTTGCATGCCAAAAATGCTGTACCACATTGTTATAAATATAATAGAAGCACTGAAAGAAAGCCACATCATATGATGAGAAAACATTTTCAGAAACCATCAAAGATAGCAAGCACAGGAGTCATAAATGAGCAACCTAAAGCAAGTTAGGACACAGCCAGCAAAGTATTGGAAGACCTCAAGTTCACAAACCGGCAGGAAGTGAATTGGAATAGTCAAGTCTAAAGGCAACAAAAGCATGAATGAGGTTTCAGCAACAGATGAGCTAACCAGAGAGACAAAGTCAAACAATGTCGCAGAGGTGGAAGCAGGTGGTCTTAACGTAGATGCAAATATGTAGTTGGAAACTCAACTCAGGTCAATATGACACCAAGATTGAGAACTGATTGGACTAGTTTCAGACTGTTGCCAGGGAGTCGATAGCTAGGGAATGGGGCTTGGCAAGGGGAATAAAACAATGGCTTCAGTCTTGATCCAGTTCACAACTACTTTACCTATGAACCACAAGTGGTTTACAGAACAAAATACTTTTACCTTCCGCAGATTCTTCTAAAAGATCTTGTTTGATGGCAACTTTTTCAACCACAACTTCAGTAAACTTAGTTATAACCTATAAAGCAAAGAAAATTAGAACAGTTACAATGAAATTCATCAAAGAAGTGATAACATCTTCAAGTTATGTTTATTCATATCTCACTTCTACAGTTCAAGAACTTGTCAGCAGCAAAAATTGTTGGTCACAGAAAAGGAAATTAATTCTTCCTTTAGTAAAGGGGAGAAGGAAGCAAGTAATTTTTTTAAGCAGATGTTCGCAGAGGGAGAAAAATTTAAAAGGGACAATTCAAGAAGTAGGGGGGTGAAGTAATTGTCAGAAAACTAGCTTGCATGCAAAAGAAAAGGAAGTGTGGAAAACAGTACACACTAGGACAAATCTTGGCTGGTAAAGATACCCCAGGTAGGACAGACAAAGATAAAAGCAAAGTACATTACTATAAATGCTAGAATCTGAAAACAGAAAGTACTGGAGAAATTCAGCAGGTCTGGTTGTATTTGTGGAAAGAGAAATAGTGCAGTCTCTACACTGGTGGCAATAAATTCTGACTGGGTGACTCAAAGTTTTCAAGTTACAAAGTGATTTCTTTAATAGATACCTTATGCTATCTCGGACAAAAGCATTTCACACCAGGTTTCTTCAGAAGCAGCAAAAAAGCTCTATTGATTGTAGTACACACACATCACTTCAACAAGAACCATGAAAAGTTATCTAATTTATGTAACTTAAACTATACCACGTCAAAACCCCAACCATACACACACCCAATCATGATTAAGAGAGATAAATGAGAAATAGTTTAACATATATACTACAGATTTAAAAAAACATTGACAGAATTTTGTCTACCCTGTCTATCAGAAGTCCAGACTACAAAGTGTAAAGTTCTTTTCCTCTCACAGTCCTATTCATTTTTACAACAAAATGACATTGTTGTCTGCACAGCAATATCTGTGCTTCAAATCAATGGTCGATTAGATGGACTTGTCTTTTCTTATATGAATTATTTAGTTTTTTTTAATACGAATATACTTTTTGATATTTTTTAGTAATAGCTTAAGAACTACATACTTCCATCAGGACCAGCCAAATGTATACCACAACCCTCTGGAAGCGACTTCAAGTTCCTCAATACAAGCTATTCTCGGAGGTAAGACTTTCATTTACCACTTCCTGGCTGTGAATGCTTCAGTACCTTATTATGGTTGCCTTCTCAACACTTGCAAGTAATCTTCTAGGTGCTTTCACTTGTCACAAGACTTTGCAGAAATACCTATAGATTTTTCTACTAAGGCAATCTTTTAAGTTTTTTCTCCCCTCATTAAATTCAAACTAAGATTAAGCCCTCCCCACTCCACAACATCAGCTTTTTCTCTGCATACAATACAGGTTTCTGTAATTTACTTTGGCCATCTTCACTTGCTGAGCTGCAAATTGCATACAGTCAGTCCAATCTGCAACCAACTCTTTTAGCAATATCCAGATAATATGAAATCAGGAAACCTCTTCAAGTTCTACCCATGTTCATGATGACACAGCACACATTGGAATGTCCTTGAACAGACCTTTAGATTAACATTCATTTCAAATTCCTTCTTTACTCTTGATGGAAGAAATTGATTTTACAACCCTACAGGGTTTACAGAATACATTTAAACTAATTTAGTTTTAACTCCCAAAACAAACACATTTCTCTGGACTGCCCTTCCTGCAAGCACTGCTGACATCACACATCCATTTCTTCACTGAAGTAAGCCCATCTGCTGTTTTATGCTCTTATCCATGTAGCATTTTTTCCTCATATATCAACAGGCCTCAGCCTTTTCGGTGAAACAGACTCCAAGTTTGTTTCAATTGTATTCATTAGAGGGATGCATTTTCTCCAGTTAAATCTTTAATTGCTAAAACTATATGTTATATTCTAATACACATGAACAATGAATCAGATATCGCAATGCAAGTAACTTACAGTCATACATTCATAGAGATATACAGTACAGAAACAGACCCTTCGATCCAATTCATCCATGCCGACCAGATATCCTAAATAAATCTAGTCCCATTTGCAAGCATTTGGCCCATATCCCTCTAAACCATTCCTATTCATATACCCATCCAGATGCCTTTTAAATGTTGTAATTGTACCAGCCGCCACCACTTCCTCTGGCAGCTCATTCCATACACACACCACCCTCTGCGTGAAGAAGTTGCCCCTTAGGTCCCTTTTAAATCTTTCCCCTCTCACCTTAAATCTATACCCTTTAGTTTTGG